GGCCGAAATGAGCTTTCTCCGCAGGGCGGCCGGGCGCACCCTTAGAGATAGGGTGAGGAGCTCGGTCACCCGGGAGGAGCTCAGAGTAGAACCCCTGCTCCTACAGATCGAGAGGAGCCAGCTGAGGTGGCTCGGGCATCTGTTTCGGATGCCTCCTGGGCGCCTTCCTAGGGAGTCTGGGCATCTTTGCTTAGACTGCTGCCCCTGCGACCCGGTCCCGGATAAGCAAAGGAAAATGGATAGATGGATGGATGGATGAAAAGAGCAGGGGCCCTGGTTAAGTTACGACAGAGATGGAGCCGGACACCGCTCCCTTCTATCTAACTAATGAATCTCCGCTAAATAGTCTGCATAGCCCATCTCATTCCAGCTTATAGGCAGAAGCTTAAAGCTGGGAATCCTGTGGTCAAAACAGTGAAGAGATGCACTGAGCAGGCAAAGTCAGAGCTACAGGCCTGCTCTGACTGCAAAACTGGAGTGTATTTGAGGCTGCGTCTACACACCTGGGTGAACTCCCTGACACAGTGACATCATACATCAGCTTTTGTGAAGATGTGTGGGTGCCCACCAAGTCCTTCTGCACATACAACAACAAGCCCTGGTTCACAATAAAACTCAAGCAGATTCATTGTGCCAGGGAGGCGGCCTACAGAAGTGGGGACAGGATCTTGTACAGATCAGGAACACAGGAGCTACACTGTGGAAGTGAACTGGCAGATGACCTGAATGTGTTTTATTGTAGGTTTGAGAAGCAGAACTCCCCCTCACCCTCCTTCAGACCCAGCAGCTGCTCCCCCCATGATCACTTCCCTTACCCCCAGCCCCACAACCCTGAAGATCTGGGAAAAGGATGTGCGTGGCCTTTTTATAAAAACAAAAGATCAGAAGGACACCAGGCCCAGATGGTGTCTGCTGGCCACCCATCTTCACATGTATCCTCAACAGATCACTGGAGCTGTGTGAAGTCCCCTCCTGCTTCACACCGTCCACCATCATCCCGGTTCCCAAGAAACCCTGCATCCAGCCTGCACCCCAGCCTGCCCTCAGTGGAGGACCTGTACACCTCACACAAAAGGAGGGCAGAGAAGAGTTCTGCAGATTTTTATTTTCCTAATGCACATTCCTTTATCTGGTTTGCACATTTTCTTTGCTTTTTTGTTCTCTGTCTTGTTTACTTGTCTACTCATTTCCTTATGGAAGAAGAAAATTATACATGCACACTGACAGCCACTGTACCAGAGTCAAACTCCTCATGTGTCCAACACACCTGGCCAATAAAGCTGATTTGAGATATCACTGCAGGAAATCAATGCAGAATGACTACATCTTGTGTTCATCTCTGCCATCTAGTGGTGCAACACTATACTGTAGCACCTAAGTGTAGAAGCTGCATTTAAAGGGTCAGTTCACCCAAATCAATAAAAACATGTTCTCAGCTACTATTAATCTGAATTTTCTCTGTTTTATACATAAACTAAAAATCTGGTCCCAAATGAAAGAATCTTGAGGGTACGGACTGACGGTCAGACAAAGCAAGCAATGTGAAGACATCTACAGCTCTGATAATCAGTAATGTGTATGAACTAAACTAAACTTTATAGGTTACACAATTAATTCATCTAAATTATAATCAACCAATTTGATAACTGGAAATGGAAAATATTGTCAGTAGCTTTAATCCTGTGGAATTTAAACAGTTATGAAGAATGAAAACAGATAAAACATGGACAAATAAAGCCAATCCAGCAATTACCTTTAGTTGTATCCATAGATACAACTAAAGGTAATTGAGAAATGGTTTTGTTGTGTGATTTAATTGAACTCACCCTTTATCTGATTTAAAAGTGAGGTGTAGTGAGAAAGAAAAAAGAGAGGACCAAAGAAGGAAGTGATTAAAATGCAACGCTGGATGTTTGTTCATCTGTATCCAGCAGCATCCGACAGCTGCCAGACATTCTTCTCGACCAGTTATTCTATCAAAAGCAAACATCTGCTTCCATCTGTGAAAATATATTTTTACAAACACAAAAATTCTATTTACATAATACAAAAAATATTCCCAATAGACATTCCACTGTTAAAGTTGATAAGTATAAAGTTCTCTTTTCAGTCTTTCTGAATCAAAGAGCACAGTCTTCTTTACCTCTGACTGAGTGCTACAAGTTCACAATTGTCTGGAGGTTCCTGAAAGGCACGCTGGGAAATGTTAGAGATCACAGAGTGACGTAGAGAACCAGTCAGGTTAAACAGAATGAAAGTGGCAAAAAAAACCTTCATTGCAAAATAACGTCTGGAGTTCACTGAACATCAAACTTATGATGTTTAAGAGCTCAGTTTAAAAGGTAACCACAGGAACATCAGCTGCAACAGTGGAGCAGGAGGGAGTCAGGGCAGACGTAACCATGGTAACAGGAGGAGGAGCTCCTGTTGATGCTAGCGTAGTGAGCAAGGGCTCGGTGGGCCGAGCAGGAACTGCTTTGGCAATCTTCATAGGAATGAAGATGTTGGAGGCACAGTGCTCACTCAGATACTCGCCTCCTTTCTCCTCGTAGTCCTGCCTGCTGATCCATCCCTCTGCTGCTCCTCCCACTCCTCCAGGTGGATGCTCCAAGGCCCAGTCCCTTGCCCCATACCAGGCGTCAAGGGCCGGCTGCAATGCCATAGTCACCTGGGAAGGAGTCATATATATATAAAAAACATTTAAACATTCCCTTCTCACCGCTCTACAGGTGGTATGTGCCTAGAAACTAGTGGTTAGACTGCTGCACTTTTACACAGTAGACCAGTGTTCAAATCCTGGCCAACCTCCAGGATTTCCTTAGGAAAGACCTTGTGACCCTTCTTTTGATATGAGAGTGGCACAAGCAAAGACAGTCATGGTGGCTCAGATGTCACCCAGATTAACAAGGTCCACATGTTGATTCTGAATATGCCTGAATAGGTTAGTCAATGTGGATAATTCAGATTACTGTATAGTTTAAGTTACATGTAAACAAACCAAAATCAAATGACAGTTCAGATCAGTTTCAGTTTTAGCCAAATGGTTGAAGTGACTATATTAAAACTGCATTAACTAAATTCTCCCTCTAATTTTTGACCATTAAGGGCGAAGTGAGAGTCAAAACAAACTCAAACAGTATCCCCTCCTCTTGTTCCTCTGCTTTTATTTGCCCGTCTCTGAAACTACATCATATATGGTCACGACAGCCGGAGACAGATGTGGCAGTCAGGTAGCACAGCAGTAATAAAAGGCTCCCAAACTAATGTATATGGAATATAGAGCCCATAGATCCCGTGGTTTTCAGTGACAATGCAGTGACACAATGTCAAATAAAAAGTTTTACATTTTAATAATATGCATACATATGTCTTATGTTGTTTGCAGTGGATGTATCTGCAGTAACACAAGCAAATTATACAGAGGAATGTTTTTTCCCAGTAATATTGACGCAGTACTAAAGTTCCGGCCACTATCATGTAGCATTCAGTGTCACATACTTGACACACATAACCATGAATTTTATGTGAACCAAGACAAAGTACATGTTAGGCTTTGACAGTTAGAGAAACTCCTCACTTTTCTAGTTATGTTGATGGCATAAATTTTAACTTCTCACTGAAATGCTACATGGACTGCAGTGTTATGTTCAACATAAATTGGACCAAAACTGAGCAAATATTTGCTAAATTGCTTCATTTGCTAATCCGGGAAAATGTGCTGGTTTCTGCTAATTGGATCACAAAACACTAACTTTGTAGTCCGTTGGAATGACTCCAAATTACACTCCGAATAATTCAACACACAGGTACAAAATGGAAACACTAAAATTAGCTTACTAATGATGCCAACATATACATGTTAGCCAGCTCCAATAGTTAGGTGTCTAGCAGGAAGAAAGCTACATCTGCATCAAATTTTATTCCTTTAGATGTTTTTAATGCTCTCCATCTCCGATATGCCAAACTGATGTTAGCCCCGGTTTCGCCTCGCTCTTTGTTGCACTATTTCTGTGCTACAGAACGACGCCTCTTGGGTCTGACAGGTCTGCTCCCATCCTGGGTTGTACCTGCACAGGGAGCCTTCATGGTCCGTCTTTAAAATGAGCTGTACTGATTTGAAAAATGCATCTTTTAACCTCGGATAAGCGAGGGTATGAAAGAAGTGTGCTGTGGATTTTAATAACAACAGTGGCTACAGAGAGGCAGAAATAAACACAAGGCCTGAAGATAGCAGAGTACGGTGGGGGTGGGGTTGGTACAGCAGGGGGAAAACACCTCTAGACAATTTTTTTACTTGGTTTATCCAAATTTGTGCAAAATCTTGGTTAATGCATCTTTAATTGTGTGCTATGAATTAATAATACTGCGAAAAGAAGCAGTTTGTGGCCAAAATCTCAACTACATACAATCAAATACGAACCTTTTTCAAAGAATTTCAATAAATTCAACATCTGTTAGTCAATGTTGAGGTGGTATAGTTTGACACTTCAGGAGTGTATAATGGCACGGAGCTTTTAAAACTCATATAAGACTGTACCTTGAAATGTGACTGGAAAGGCCTCATAGCCAGAAGTTCTCGCTCTACTCGCTCCTTCATCCCAGAGTACTGCATGTTCCCTCCTGTCAGAAACACATTTCTCACCAGCACCTCCTGCTGCTCTGGAGTGTACCTGCATGTGATAAAGAAGAAATAAACACTTTAATAGATGAAAGTACACATCATTTGCTAACGCTTATAAATATGAGAAAATTATGTGTAAAATGCAAAAATTCTGTATTTGTGTGATAATATCAAATAGGTAAAGAGAGAATTTGTATAATTCATGTACCTGCTAATATGATTTCATTAGTGTTTGGTTATGTGTACATACTGTATGTGTGAGCATACACCTTTGTCTTTTCTGTGTGTATTTGACTGCATCATTACCTGGCCAGGACATATTGCAGTGTCTCCATCAGTCCCATCTGATCCTCTCCAGTCAGCGAGGGCTGGAACAGGATCTCTGGGCACCGCAGACGCTCTGTTCCTACAAACAGCTGGTGGTACTCCGCCATGTTGAACATAGGCTGGAGATGAGATCAAAATTATTCATCACTGATGTGTGAGAAGTGTTGACAAATGTCAAATGTTTCAACTTATGAGTAAAGTTAGCTAGCTTCATTATTGTTCTGGCACAGAAAAAATTATGCAGGACTCACTCGACCTGCCACATATTAAACTAACAGAAAATGGCCTTCGCAGCATTAATGAGGACTTTAATATCAGTCTGGGAAGATCCAGTGTCTCTGTGCCATTACCTGAACAACATTAGCAGTTTTTTCTGGCAGAGTGTCCTCAGGGAAGTCAGGATCCATTAGTGCCACTCCATCTCCCTCGTCTATCGGCTGCTCCAGCTCAGGAACCTAGCAGAGAAGGACAGAACAGCCTCAGGCTTCATGCTGTCTGCAGGATGTGGACTGCAGCAGCAAGGACGGATCATGTAGCACCTCGCAGCACATTAACAAAACATGTAGACCTAATTATTTACTGGATCACTTGAATCTGACTTCAGCTGAGCCGTTCCTTATTTGGTCAGCTGCTGACATAAGTTTGTGGGTAATATAGTGTTGTTTGACCACACATAGAAACACTGCTCATATAAACACTCAGATTATATATATATATATATATGTATACACACACACACACACACACCTTTGTATAACCTAATATAAATCACTCAAAGAGCAGATTTGAGCTGAAAAATATCTGCTTTTTGCTTTAACTGCCATGCACCATAGTAATCGTTTAACTTACCTCTTAACTATCAAAATGTTTTCTAGACACAGAGCCTCAAAATGTGGACACGGCACTCGCAAATTAACAAGTCGAGTCCAACTAACCATTGATTTGGTTGAGTCACACCCACCTCTGTCTTGCCCTCTGCCCCGTCACTGTGCAGCAGTTTCTGTCTTCCCTGCTCCACAGCCAACTGCAATTTGTTGATGTAGGACTGCAGCTCCTCAGCTGAGTCCATGTTAAACTCCACCAGGCTCTTATGAAATTGATCCAGCAAGCCGTCCTCCAGCAGCTCCTGAACAAAGCAAGTTTATTTATATAGCACATTTTCCTACACAAAGGCAATTTAAAGTGCTTAACACAATGCTCACAAATATATAAAACATTACAATAAGTACATAGATACAAAAATAGAATGCAATTAGATTTAAACTAATGCAAATTAAAAGCAACAATTACATGACAGTACAAAGTAGCAACATGCAAATGTAGATACCTAGTACTTTTAGAGTCACTGTGGGACACTGTGGATTTTCCCTGTTCTCATTAAACTTTGTACCACTTTACTTCAGTCTTCCCAAGACTAATCTCTGAGTACTTTAACACTAGAGGCAGGTGTACTTTTTTCCGCACCTCTGAAGCACCAGTGTCTACACAGTCAGCAAAACAGTCCCAGAAACACTTAAGATAGCTGTGGCAAAGTGTGGATTCTCAGTCTTCTCAGTATTCTTTGTACCCACTGTGCAGCAGACACCAGCTGTATTTTAAAATCAATCCAAAGATCAAATATAAAAACAAGGTATAGCTAAAGCTACTTATTATTTTGTAAGCTTTTTAGTAACTGTGCATCTACATTTCATTGAAGAACAATGTCTTTTTATAGGTTTCTTCATAATCTTGAGTCTTACAAATGTAAAATTCCACTTAAAAAAACCTGAAGGTCATCAACCTAAACTATAAATGATAAAACAGGTTCCTTGCCTGTACTGCCATAAGTCTGTCCAGCCTCTCTTGGTCCTGCAGCAGCTTCTCCTCTCGGCGTCGAGCATTGATCTCCTGAAGCCGTCGAAGCTGCTGAGCTCGTCTCTCCTGCCTCTCCTCCACACTCACACAGCCACCTGGCAACTTTCCTGAGAAGGGAAGTTGCATACGGTGAACCTCCCGTTCATAAAACTCTGGGCTGCGCCACTTTTCCAGCTCTGTGGAAAACACAACATGGAGGAAATTGAATTGAACCTCCACCAGTCACAAGGAGCAAATTCACGTTTGCATGCAGTTAATTAATGTTGCTCAAGATGAATTTCTGACTATTCAATAACTAAACGGTTATTTGCTGTTGCAACTTGGAGCTGTAAACCTGCCATGGTACGTGTATTTATATATAAAGTATGTACTGTATGTTTGCACTGACATAGTGTACCTTCATGATAATCCACAGCAGTGTAACTGTGTTCATGCAGCAGTTCTTCCATGCGACTGAGTGTGATGGCAGCAAGGTGACCTGGGTATTTCAGCTGAAGGAGGCGCTGCAGGTAGGACGCTGCCTGACTCCCAGCCACATTAACACGCTTACAGTTCAACGCATCCAATCTCAAATCAAAACCATATCAAAATTAAAGAAAATTGTGCACAGCATGTGTATAATTGCACTAATGGAAGTCAAACACAATGCACAATCATTCAGACATATCACAGTAGGAAACCCACAGGTGTAAATAATAAAATTAATGTTGGCTGAATTCCATTTAGCTACTTCAGTTTCAGGGTCCCGGTATTGTTCACGTGGATTCACTTTCACAGCTCACTGGGACACATGTAGGAGATATGCGCTGTTGCCACTCCGCCAGCCAACTAGGTACTCAAAGAGTGAAATAACACTACTGAGCAACACTAGCTCACTAAAACTGATTTATTTCACCTAGGTGTTTCAACACAGGACATTCAACAGGGTGATTTAAAGAATGTTCTGATTCTGAATGTGTAAAAAAACAAAAAACAAAAAAAAAAACAGCCTACTCTGCAAGAAGGTTGGATCAGTTATCCATTGAGAGCTGGACACATGAATGGCCCAGCTTCCAAAGGCCAAGACACTTAAACATAACAGAGCCATTGTTAATGTTATTAGTAACACCTGTGCTTTTTCTACTATAAGTCAAAACCTGATGTAAAAAAGGCTGATCGGGAAAAAAAGACAGATGGTTAGGGCATTAAATTTTACTTTGAAAGGGCAATTGTCTGTTTCTATGAATCCTCACCTGCCGTTGATAACTGGCAGGATGTGTGAACAGTGGTATCCTGAGGACAGAACAATGCCAGTGTGTGGTGGCTGGATGTTCCTGAGAGTGTTATTGTGGTAGAAACTGTACAAGCTGTCCACGCCATAGGAGACATATGGGACACGGTAGCACTCAAACAGCAACTCTGACATCATCTGCCGACAGTGCAGTGGGTTACAGGGTGCCTCTGTGAGCACGATGGGGTGATCCACACTGCCCTGCAAGAGCATGGAAGAGTAATGTTGATTGGTCATCTGACATTACATATAAAACAGAAATGGCAGACATTAAGATAATGTCACGTTTTTTGGCGTCTTAATTCTCGTGAAGTCAAAGAGACGACATGGATAAACATTTTCTGGGGGGTATAATTTTTGTCAAAACAATGGCGGACTTGAGTCAGTTCTGTTCTCTTCAAAGGTGCTTTATATTGACAGTCTCCTCCAGCACTCACCTCTGAGGCGATGCCCAGGTGTGTAAACACATAGTCAAAGATGAGCTCCTGGATCTCGAAGTTGACTACCACGTTTCGGTCGAACTGGCTCTTCAGCAGCCATCGCAGTGGCTCCAGATTCGGGATGTCGTTACCGATCTGCGTCTCGCTGCGGGCAGCCCCTCTGCTGCGTGCCGCCACCGACCTGAAGAGCAGCCGCGGAGAATGAAGTTCTGCAGCCGCCCACCCGGCCCGTGTCTGAAAGGAGCCGTTGTCTATCACTATTGGAACCGGTGTAGAGGTCAGACATTGGGCAGGGAGTTCAAAAATCGGATCGGGAGAGGTTTTACAGTCCTGGAAAGAGAAAATCTGACAGACCGGTTGTTCATCGGAAGCCATTTTGAAGGCGTGTCACTACAAAATACAGCCGACTGGAGACTTAGTGTCGACGACTTAAAGTTCCGAACAGTTGTAAGCAACTGTTTTGCGCAGGCATTGAAACTGACCGAATCAGAACAATATCAAAGTTGCACTTGAACAGCACTATGTAAAATCTATATGATATAAACGAGTAAATAAAATATGCAGGCTACATGTTTTAGCAAACACGATTTCTCCACATTTTATGACTTGTCTTTTTAAATTTCAGTTAAACATTCCTGACACTGCAGCTAGGGTTTGTAAATGTATTTTATTGTGCTCCTACACCATATGTAGCCTACAACAAATATGATTTTTGCTAAATATGTCTGCCTTTTACCACCAGTGGCCATAAGGCACTCTGTAAACATACTGTAGCGTCCCGCAGGACACAAGGAAGACAACCTTGAGTGCCGACGAATAGTCGCTTTTTTATTAACTCTACACAACCGGTTACTGTTGGCCGTAACCACGCCAAAACAACAGCTCAACAACAATAATAAAGAAAAACAGCCTGCTAACACTCTCTGTAGCTCAAAATCCCCCACACTTCACTCCCTCCCGCTCTCACACCTCTTAACCCCTGAAGCTCCACACCCATCAAGTAACCATAACAATTTAGAACATAATAACATGCCAAGTGAAGGATCACTACAATACTGTAAATTCCTGTAAAACCACTGGATTATCCTTGGTGGATTATTAGGCAAAAAATTGCTGTAGTTTGTGTGTGTCACATCATGTCACATCTCAAGCACAGTTCACTGCTCATGCACAAAGCTTTAAGTGACTACTGTCCCCTTCTCCTAAAGCAGATCTGGGTCATCTCACCCTCTCAAATACATACAAACACACATGATCATATCCACACTTCCCCGCCCACTCACACATAACCGAGTGTCTGTTCCTCTCAGCAGCAAAGTGATTGTGCCACTGTATGTGTACGGCGCTCGCGGCTCATTGATTCTTGTGCTTGTCACCAGTCAGTGGTGAGGAGACTCAGAGAAGCCAATGGGCTACAAATACGTGGGGACTGCTGCACATGATGCCAAGCAGCCTCCATTTTGTGGAGGAATGAACAAAATTATGTTTTACGTTCTATTTATTTGTTTGTTGGTAGTTCCTATTGTCCATGGTGTGATTTACTAGAGGAGATGTGAGTGGAAAATAAAATGTTACGTACAGGAAAATGCTGCACTTTTAGGCTTTATAAATAATAATGCATTGGTGAGACAATTTCTTTATTCTATTTTTATTAAATTGTTTACCTTTATTTCTGCTCATTTTTACTAATACAGTGTCTTTTATGGACAGGGGGAGTCATATGCTTTTCTCACAGTTACGCAACCTCTTTTTGGAGTACAACCAGCAACCCCTCAACCACAAGCTGACTTAAATCATACTGAGGGTTTTCATCTCCCCCTTAAAATGCTATTTTTGTGGAGGTAGGAAAAGACTAACTACTCAGTGGTAATATGTAGTTTTTGCATAAAGCTCTCAGAGGAGGAACATCTGCCACTGACAATTCTGAATTGCAGAATTCAGAAGTAATTTTCCATTCTGTTGTTGGCTATAAACAGGCAACAAAAAAAAGCTGTGTGTGTGTGTGTGTGTGTGTGTGTGTGTGTGAGTGAGAGAGACACAGAAAGAGAGAGCAAAGAAATGGCAGATGGAAGAAGAGAGCCAGGTTTAACAGTCCTGAATTCTGATATTTAGGGGCCACCTTGCTGACAAAACATCTGAAACCTCCATGACTTTCCTCTACACCCTGTCATGCCTGCACAGACTTAGCCTGTATTTTTTCCTCTGCAGACACATAGCTACACTGTAACCTCCATCTCTTTGTCTTTCTCTCTCACTTCCTCACACACAAAGACACAGGCACCCCCTCCACACACACGCGCGCACACACACACACGCAGTCTGTCACTACCACTCTCTTCAGTCTCTGGCCCTGCAAGCCCAGCAAATCTTTTTGGGACATGCAATGAGTAATGTATTTGTGCACCTGTCACTATTCATGCATTCATTCGTGGGAGTGTGTATGTGAAGGGTATTTCTAAAAATACAAATATTTAAATTTGTATATGTGCTTCATCTTTCATTTGTCCTGTTTAGGTAAAATGATTATAGTGTATTCATCTGCTCAGTTAGGAAAGCAATGTGTGGTCTTGCACATCCTGGCTGATTAGACCTCTGGCCAGGATGAAGTTATTCAGCCTACTGCCCTGAACTAAACTAAACTAAACTAAACTTAAACATTTATTTTGAGTACCTTTTTGGTGACATAACTCAATTACGGCCTAAATGTTTGTACAGTTCATTATTTAGAAGATAAAGAAATGGTGTGACAGCAATATAGTATCTCTGAATTTGGATAAAACCAAATTTATGGTATTTGGGAATTGTAGACTAGATAATGAACCTCAATTGAAAATTGGGGGAGCTAATATAGAACGAGTATATGAAATTAAATTTCTAGGTGTCATAGTTGATGACAAATTCTCCTGGAAATCTCATATCAGATATGTTCAGCACAAAATAGCAAAAAATATATTGATATTGGCAAGGGTTAGATATATGTTGGATGGGAAAGCACTACGCATTTTGTATACTTCATTGATTTTACCATACTTAGAGTATAGCGTTGAAAACTGGGGAAATACATACAAAAGCTCACTTCAACCATTGTATATATTACAAAAAAGAGCGATAAGAATTGTGCATAAGATGGGGTA